GGGGGGGGGGGGGGGGCATGGGGGAGGGAAAAATCAAGGCCCCCAGGGTGAGGGAGGGATGGGGCAGGTGCTGCCCAGCCAGGGTGGTGAATGCAACCCCAGGGTGAGGCAGAGCTGTGGATAGCTCATCTAGGGGTGCAGAGCGGGGACAGCTCCCTGCCACTGTGCGCACCCCTGGGCATGAGGAGCATGTGCCCCCCCCCCAATTCGTGCAGGGGGCAAAGATGGGCTGCCCACTGTGGGCTCGGGGGCAGGGTCTGCACCAGCCTCTTCCCCGAGGTGGAAGCTGGGCCAGGGCTCCACTTGGGGTAGGCTCAGCTGTGTGGGGTGGGCAGCAACAGTGCTGGGAAGGGTGGCTATGGGGAATTTGGGGATGGCCATAGCCCCCAAAGCCCACCCTCAGTGCTGCTACCTGTGCCCCCACAGCTGAGCCCACCTCACCCCGAGCACAGCTCTGGCTCCAAGTCTGCAGTGGGCAGCCTGCCCTCGCCCTGCATACAAATCTGGGGTGGCACATGCCCCCATGCCTCGCCCAAGGGTGTGCACAGCGGCAGGGAGCTGTTGCCGCCCCCCCAGATGGCAGTGCGTGGCTCCACCCCATGCCCCAGGACTGCATTCACCACCCTGGATGGGCAGCACCTACCCCATCCCTCCCTTACCCTGGGAGCCTCAATTTCCCTTCCCTCTCTACCAGCAGGAGGCTGCTCTCTAAGCTGCTGGGCCGTATTCCTAGCCCCATGCATGCCATAAACACAAAATTTATCAGTGACATTATCGGCCAAAAAAAGCCACACCAGCATTCCCCCCACAGCATGCAGCCTATTGCTTGTGCTGGTGCAAGGTATGAAACGCCCCTGCTACTTAGAAGTAAGACAGCCCTATGTTAGAGCTCTTGATACCACAGCGCATTAGAAATACCTCAGATCTGGGGGCCCACACCCCTGGGAAGAGTCTGGCAGTGCTGAGAGGGCAGGCTGAGCTCCATAGAGCTGGCGGGGCCACTCAAGAGTGCAGCCCGGTGGCAGGAGGCAGGGAGATCCAGTGGCGGAGCCGCTCCGAACGCAGCCCTGGTGACCACAGCCCGGCGGCAGGAGGCTCCGCAGCCCCACGGAGCTGAACCTGGAAGCAAGGGGCAGGGGAGAGCCACTGGCCAGGGCTGCACTCAGACCAAAGGCTGCGCTCAGAGCGGCTCCACCACTGGCTCTCCTGCTGCTGAGCTGATCTCCATGGGGCTGGCAGAGCCGCTCGGAGTGCAGCCCTAGCTCTCCCCCACCTCCCACCACCGGGCTGCTCTGAAACTTGAAACATTTCGGGTGCCCTCATTTTGTTTCGAAGCCTTTTGTTTCATTTCGATTTCACTGTTTCAAGCTCAAAAGGCGTCAAAACAGCTTCCAAATGAAACACGGGCTGAAATGCTGCACAGCCCTATGGAGCTCCACTGCCCTAGACAAACAGTGGGACCGTGAACATGCGTGGTGTGAAAGAACTAGGAGCTGCACTAAAAGGCCCCAGCTGGGGGATGTGTAGGTGAGTGCTAAACAGCGTACAACCCTCTCCTGCAAATGCAACCAGTCTGTTCAGAACTTCAGCGTAGCTGAACACAACGAGGTTCCATGTAGCGCTTCGCAGCCCAAAGCCCTCACGAAGCAGGACAGTGCAGACATGGCCTGAGCTTTCCCGCTTGCCTTCCCCCTCCTGCCTGCCTGTGCTGTGCTTGGGGCAGAAATAAGTCCCTTGAATCCGACTGCTCCAGCTCAGCGACCCACCTTCCTCTGGATCTTGTACCGCTTGTGGCAGGTCAGGCGCTTGCTGCCCTTCCGCAGCTCTGCAATCAAGACATGCCGTTACCAGAGGGCACACCAAGGCCACCGCCTATCGGCGCCCGAGCGCGGCCGGGCCTCCACCACAGGGCACGGGCACGGAGTCCCGGCCCCGCGTTGCTACCACCTCCAATTGATCACGACCGCCCGGCCTGGCCCCCATTGCCGCGCGCCCCAGTCCAGGCCCCGCCCGAGCCTCCTACAGCACCAGCCCCGGCCCCAGACGCGTGCCGCAATCCCCACCCCCCAGTCTCTGGCCCCGGCCCCGGCCCCGGCCCCGGCCTCGGCCACAGCCACAGCCACAGCCTCGGTCCCGTTCCCGGGCCGCGCGGGCAGTAGGCGGGGGCGCCCTGTACTTACTAGGCCTCTTCATGGCTGCGGCCGCGCGCTCGGCCCACGTGCAGGCGGCAGAGCCGAACCCAGCGACTCTGCCGTAAAGCGTGCCGCCCGCCCCTTCCGCGTCCTGCCCCTAGGCGCTGCACTAGCTGTCGCGCCGGCGGGCTCGCTCGGCGGCCGGGCGGGCTTTACGGCAGCGGCAGGCTCGGCGGTGAGGGGCGGCAGCGGCGGTGGTGGCGGTGCCGGCAGGGTGGCAGCGGTGGGCGAGTGCGGCCGCAGTAGCAG